AGAAAAACGCCCTCCAGCGTGCCCGTGACGCGCACGGCGCTCGCGCTGTTGCGCCCCGCCAAGCGCCTCTCGTGCCACGACCACGCGTCCGTCACCAGCCTCGACTTCGACGACTCCGGCCAGTTTTTGCTCAGCGCCGCCGCCGACCGGACCATCCAGCTCTACGACTGCCACAAGGGCGTGCGCCAGCGCGAGGTCCAGTCGCAGAAGTACGGCGCCCACTTGGCCAGGTTCACGCACGACGGCCTCAGCTGTCTCTACGCGTCCACGCCCGCGGTCGGCGGCGCCGGCCCGGACCACGCGGTGCGCCTCCTCCTGCTCGCGCTGAAGAGCTACCTCCGCTACTTCCGCGGCCACACGGACCAGGTGGTGCTGCTCGAGATGAACCCCGTGTCGCGCACGTTTCTCTCGGCCGCCGCGGACCACACGGTCAAGACCTGGGACCTCCGGGCGCTGCAGCCGCTGGGCAGCGTGGGCACCGCGCGCGCCGCGCAGGTGGCGTTCGACCCGCACGGCGTGGTGTTCGCCGTGGCCGAGGCGCCGCAGCCGGCCGCCGAACCTGGCTGCGTGGCGCTCTACAGCACGGCCGCCTGCGACCGCGGGCCGTTCCTCCGCGTGCTGCTTGCGGCAGCATCGCCGGACGCGTGGACGCGTGCCGAGTTCTCCAACACCGGCCGCTGGTTGCTCGTGGCCACGGCCCTGGCGCGGCACCTCGTGTTGGACGCGCTCCTGGGCCGCCTCCGCGCGACCTTGGAGGTGGACGCGCACGCGGCGCCGGGCTGGATGCGCTTCCAGTACGCCAGCGCGGGCGCCGCGTGCTTCAGCGCGGACGGCCGCCACGTGTTTGCGGGGCACGTGGACGGCAGCGTGGCGCTCTTCGACCTTGCGGCGTTGGCGCCGGACGCCGCGGACGACGCGCCGCCGGTGACGGTGCGCCCGTGCGCCATGCTCCCGAGCCGCCAGGGCATCCCGAAGGTGGTGGCGTTCAACCCGAGGCTCTTGGCGTTGGCCACGGCGGACTCCAGCGTGGTCTTGTGGTCCCCGCCTGCGGACGACTAGAGGCCGCTGGTGGCTGCGCGGGGGCTCAGTTCTGCGTGAGGTGTGCGTTTCTGAGGTTCTGGCGACTCGTGCGCTTCTGCTCGGGCGTTTCGGCTCCTGACTGACTCGTGCTTCCGGGAGGTTCTGGTGACTCGTGTTGATCTTGAAAGGTTTTGCGTGATTTGTTCGTTTCTGAAGGTTCTGGTGACTCGTTCTTTTCTGCTTCTGCCTGACTCGTGCTTTCGGGAGGTTCTGGTGA